TGTACTGAGCAGTCTTTCAATAAGGCCATGGGTGGAACATCTGGCTGACTCTCTTGCGGTGGAATACATTTTGGGTGTGCTAGTGGTGCTGCAGGTGCACCCAGCTCAGTGATATATATACTAGAATATATGTCATTGGTCCAGTTCTTCTTGAAGGTGGGCCTAACGTTACCTGCCCACTTTGGACCAACTTCCCTCTCACCATTGGTTACTTTCAAAGTAACAAATCAAAAAGCCGCAACATGAATGTAACTTGTAATGCAACGCGTTACAGAAATGTAGTGTAGTAGAAAGTACAGATACTTGATGTAAAATGTAGTGGTGTAAAAGTATAAGTACCCACATTTAACTCTACTTAAGTAAAGTACAGATACATGAAAAATGTACTTAAGTACAGTAACAAAGTATTTGTACTTAGTTACATCCCACCACTGCCTAAAACAGACAACAAAGATCACTTTGAGTTTCATACCAATAAGCAGAAAATACAGACAGTAGAGAAATCATACCATTGTATGGCTCAGAACTCCATTCTGTACACCTCGATTCAGTAAATGTTTCCAGACGGTACTAAAATAAAACAAAAGGGGGAGAAAACAAGATAATCTTGTGCCGTTTACAGGTAAAATAGACTTTCTTTCCAGTTAAATACTATTTTCAGTATTCCTAACATCACACCTTCACACACAGTAAAATAGCACATCTCCTTACCCTGTACGTGTTGAATGCCTCCATGTTTATGATCACGCCATCCTTCGCTGGTGCTGAACTGTAGCAGCATTTACTGGAGGCGTACTGGCTGAAGGCCCCCCGAGCCGTTTCTTCACTGATAGACGGGATGCTGCCAGCAGTGGAGCAGCGTTACACAGTGCATCACACAGTGGCATCTTTAGAAAGTGCCATAGGGCTGAATGACTTTAAATGACTTTAAATAATATCTAACGTTTAATAATACATTCTCAACCATTGTGTTTAAAGAAAGAACAGACTGAGAATTACTTCCAGTGGGGTTGTTCAGGTCCGGGTGTAGGCTGGGGAGCTGGGAAAGCAGGCATAGGAGGCGGCAGGAATCCACCTGCAACAGATGTTAGGTGATTAGTTGGAGCAGTGTTGAAACTGAACAATACACGGCAGGAATAATATTTAAAATATTTGTTCAGTTTCTATACAATATACAATAGATTCACTATATACAACATCTCTAACAAAAACAAAGTTAAAATCACTCACAAACCAAATATTTTATCTTTCTACGGCCCTATGAGATCAATTTTATTGTTGTTTTTTTATAGATCGTTTTCCCTTCTAATTCAAGTGTTTGTGTTTTGTTCCAGATTTTCATATTTCAGGATATACCTAGTACACCATTAAATAAACAGTAGACTGAAAAAGAATAAAGTCCAAGAGCAGAATAAAAGGCAGAGATTTGACACTAAACAGTTTCATTTAGCATTTGTCTATTAAAATTGTGTTTAAATTCTATAAATGAAGGAGCACTGAAAAATATAACAAAATTTAAACAATACTTTAATAATACCACAAGGGAAACTTTGAAGCCACTCCAACTAATATGAAAAACAATATCACTAGGAAATAGATGAATAAAACAAATAGGGCAAGTGGAAAATACGAAACACCATCCCTCAGTGATGGAGGCCCACTGGTAGAAATGACTTCCTGTTTCTCTCGAATTTTACACAATACTTTTAAATTCTGAATTCAGTAGACTCATCATTGTAGACTTATCCTCCACATTACACAACTTCCTACTTGAAGTTTTTATAAGCAATACTGTCACCGTTCTCCTAAAAACGTATCTCTTGTTTCACAACAACTGCTACTGAGTTAGCCCAAGTTAGCTCTGGTTTGTTGGAGTCACAAGAAGGCAAACTAATTCTGAAACAACAAACATGAAGAAGGAAGAACCATCATGGTTTGGTCTTGTGCTGCTTTTTTTTGTCACCCGTAAAGTTTAGCTAAATGAAAGTGCAGCACAATCCAGGATCAGGTCTCGCCGTCTTTAACTAAAATGAACAAGATGAAAACCAGGGTAACACATAAGGCACCTTTAATACCCATTTTAGTAATGATCTAAACAAGCAAATACCTTATAACCTTTGACCTTGATCTGTGTCATTGAGCTGGGGTGATGAAAAGATTACGACACCTTCTAGTGGTGGTACAAATTTGCATTAAGTTTCGTTAAATGATCTCGAGTGGATCAGAAGTTATGGTCGGGACAAGAGAAAGTTAAAAATATGGACGGGCATACGTATGGACAGACAGAGACTGTCCCATCTGCCTTTGATGAGCATATAATAAAAAGAAGACAGAAACAAGTCTCTTAAACACCTTTTAAAATATGAAAAAAAAAACTACAAAATCTGTGTTTTTTATTATAATTAATTATTAGAACTAAGACTGGTAAGTGATTTTAGTTTACCACTAAAACAATCAAACATTGTAATACAGAAATCACTTAATGTAAACTAAGAAGCTTTCAGATTCTTAAGATTCTTTAGAGTCTTGCCAGTTTATATATTATGTCTGTATTTTATTTGTAATACTTTGTGGTTTGCGGTAATATGGGTTAATGGCAAAATGATTATTTTGTATAGTTTTTCCAGAACAAAAAAAAAAACATTATCAATAGCTTCATCATATAAAAATACATTATTTTCTTAAGTCGTTGATTCATTTATATGATTCAAACAATTGAATACACTTTGGGATAATAACTTTTACACAATTCCTGATGAAGACGTGTGTGTTACTGTACCTCCTCCAGCCATTGTTCCTTCATATCCGGGCAGGACATCAAACATGTTGGCCGGAGGAGCGCTGGGGCCCTGGGCCTGATGTGAAGGTGGGGCAAGCATTCCTAACACAAACAGGAAGAACCAGTTCAGAAACACAGACCAAATCCAATACATCTGAAGAACTTATCTAATAAGAGATATAACCTAACAAAACCCCACCACATCTGTAAAGAAACCCACGTGAAGAAACGTTCTGCCCCCCACCAAAAACATTCAATTCAGAAAAAAAAAAAAAATCTCAGGTGAAGTAGTTTTGGGACAACAAAGTTCATGCTCATTGCCAAGTTTGCTTCCTAAGAATGAACGTCTTGAAACAGAGACTTACCCTGCCTCTCCATGTTAGCATCCATCCTGATGCTTTCTACAGACAAATTAAAAATCTTCAGCCAGATGTCGAGCTCTCTGTAACAACTGTCTGTAATTGTACAATTAAAACCTGTGTACAGGTCCTTCCTTAGTAGGCGGGGTTGCCAAGAAGAAAATGACGAAATGTCGTACTGTCATTTTAAAACGATCGTAGTTTCATCTAGCATGTGCTGAATGTACCGTTCAGCGTGCGCGTGTTTTCATTTTATTTTTTTATTTTTGTATTTTTTTTGGGGGGGGGGGGGGGGGGAATTTCCTTGCTGAGCTACTTATATAAGGTGTGTGTTGTGATTGGTGACCGTGCGCACAGGGTTGGCCCGATGGACTTTCTGATAACTGGATGTTCACGTGAACAATAAACGAGTTCACGGAAATGCCAAAACTATCGTCTATTTATGCTTTTTATTAACCACTGATCGTGTATCGTACTTAATTACCATCCACCTACCTAAGTACGTACCCAAAACTTTCGCATAATTGATTACGACATATTTGGCAACGCTGTACGTACGTCTCAGGCTGCAGCGTGAACGCGCACGTCGGTGTGACGTCACCAACAGGAAGAGCGCAACCTTTTTCTTTTTTTCTTTTTTTTTTTTGAAGAGCGCAGCTAGTTTTGTTCGATACCAGGATTTCTGGTCCAAGTTGATGTCTGTGGGGTAAAATGCAGGCTGATACCAGTACTTTGTGCAAATACGACTTATGTGTCAGGTAAACATAAAAAAAAGCAGTGCATTTCGAATCAAAGCTGCATAAAGAATACAAGACATCAAAGTAATTTGTTTATTTTAAACTCAGAAGTATGTTGAGGTAGTGGCCTCGTTACAATCAATCTCGATGCAGGTCTCTCCTGTAAATGAGTCCCGTACCTCAAGGGGATAAACCAGTATAAATAAAGGTTGAATGGAAAAACAATATAGCTGAGCTTTTACAGCAACAAAACATAAGAAGACACACTCATACAAAATATGTAAAAATGCTGTTTCAAACACTAAAAAGAAGGAAAATCAAAACTATTACAATAAATTATTAAATAGCTATAAATAATAAGAGATCTTTTTAAGATAATGTTATATTTGTATCCATATTTTGTAGTTACAGTATATATTTTTCAAAGTAAGGCTGTTTTATCACCATTGCTCTTTATAATTTGATGACGCCTGTGTAATCCACTTTAAATGATCAATTCTTTAGGACACGTTACCTGAATAGATCTTTTTTGCCCATGTGTGAGCTCACTGATGCACATATTATTACACCAAACTGAACTCATGCAACTAGTTGTTGAAGCATGGATTTGTTTTACTTATAATAATTATATATATTATATAATTATTATATATATTCTATATAATTATACTTATAGCCATGTGTATTAATTTGAACAACAATTGCAGCAGTTCTTAGCACAGCTGGAATCTCCACATTTCCTCCCTCTGTACCTGGACAGTCCTGCAGCACTGAAGGACTCCTCCAGAGCAGCAGCACCTGACTCTTGCTCTCCTCCTCTGTCCGCCTCATCATAAACGCCTCGTATTCTGTGTTGTGATTTAACTGGACGTGTTTTATAAAGTTTGTTGTGTTGTCACAGCGCTTTACAGATTTTCCACAAACCGCTTCTTGGCTGTTTTTGGAGCTGAAATATCTCTGCGCATGACTCCGTTATGCTCCGCCGTTGTGTCTACAGCCTGAGACTGACGAGCAGTGTGCCGCTCAGCTAACACGCATTACGCTCTTACCCTGACGCATGCTCAATAATCCAGGTAGAAAAATCTAAAAAAACTTAAGTCAGGTCCTCTGAACGGGTTCCAAAAAAAAAAAAAAAGTTGAAACGTTTTTTTCTGTCATCCGAAAGACTTCCTCATTCTGAGGTGCTGTATTCAGCTCAGTCAGCACCTTCTGAGTGGATCAACCAGTTTGCTGCTGACAACCAAAACCAGCTGCTCACATGCTCAAGAAGGACCATCAGCCTAACGATGGATCATTAGCACACTGATGGCTGTTTACTATTCACAGGGGGCTGAGTGATACTAACAATAACAGCATTGTAAGAGGGGGACAGTTGAACCCGGAGGCCTCCACCCCTGTTTAATGATGGACAGTTTCATTTTCACAAAGATGGCCTCCTTGATCATCGTTCCTCTCTATCAAGGATGTGAATTTATCCCTGAACAGTGACCGCTGCTCTGCAGACGAGTGTAAACCTTACAGACAGGGCATGGCCTCTCCTGGGTAGTCTGTGGTACAGAATTTGGTCAATAACCTTGTCCTGCTCCAAAATTTTCATGCAATCTATCAACTTCTTCTTGTAACCACTTCTTGGACCTCTTTTCAGCAGCTTTATGCACTTACCCCGGCGGAAGAAAAAGTAGTTCCCACCAACCATTTAGACAAGATCTCAATAGTTTAATTACTTTTCACCATCTTCCTGTCAATGCTATGCATTGCCTGAACTGACTGAAGTGTCAAAAGTATGAATAGTTTGATTTAAGAATCGATTCCAGAGGAGAAAGTGTGTGGTATCGGAATTATTGTCGTTGTGGTATCGATCCACACATCACTAAAAGTCAAACAACTTTAAACAGAGTGAACCAGCTGTGGTGTGAGAGTCCTACCTGCTGCTCCCTGCGCTGTCAGCATGTAACCAGGGTTCTGTATCCCATAAATGGTGCTCCCGCTAAAGTAATTGGAAACGGAGGAAAAAGTTACAGTAACTGCGTATACATGAAAGTTTGCGTTCAAGTAAAAGCGACTCTCACCTCATTATAGGCTGGTGCGCCATCAGGGGCTCTGTTAAAAACAACCGTGTCAAGACGAGCTGTGACCGCACCGAGGAAAGCTGACCGTCATGTGACGAAAGAATAAATCATTTACTTTTCATTTCAACACAAACCAAGTACAGGAACTGTACTGCTAGATTTTTTTTTACAAAGAGGAAGTACTGAGCTTCACTCAGCTGAAGTACTGAATTTAGGAAAATCTGTTCCCCCTGTGTCGGGAGCGCGCACAGAGGCGGACCTCTTGTGCGAAATTCTGCTCCCCTGTGAAAATCTGTTCCCCCTGCGTCGGGAGCGCGCATTGCTGTCAGAG